ATCAAAAATTTCCCAAAGCCTACTAACCTTAGACAATTAAGAGGATTTCTAGGAATTGCCTCTTATTATCGTCGATTTATAGAAGGATTTTCTAAAATTGCTAAACCTTTAAACCAGTTACTAAAAAAAGATAACTCTATCTATGGACAGAAAAACACCAACAAGTCTTTGATGCTCTCAAAAACTATCTTATCTCAGACCCAGAGTTGTAATATAGTTCATTAATCACTGGAGGCCATTCTTCCAGGTAATAAGTTTCTATTTCCTCATCATTCTCTTCTAGTTCATCGATCCATTGATCTTCATCATCTTCATCTACTTTTTCTAAGATAGGATAGAAATTAGTGTATGAGTAGCATTGGTAGTAGCCTTCTTTCCAAAGTATCAAATGTTTAATGTATTATTTTCAAAATCTAACTTGGCTCATGATTTGTTGAACCAATCTGTTCCAAGGAGAAGGGTTTCATTCATAGATTCAATCACTTGCAGGTTAATAGGGATAATAATATCTTGAATAGTAATTTTTACATAGGAATAATTCTTAAGGCTTTGGTACGATTTCCGTTGGCAGTAACCACAATGGTTTTAGAAGGTCTCTGGATTTGGAGTCCTAATTTCCTCATGAGCTTGGCTGTGATAATGCTTATAGCTGCTCCTGAATCAAGAATAGCTACAACAGGATTTCCTTTAATTCGAATAAGACATCTCATTGCTGTGGTCTTTTAGGTTGGTCAATTTCAGCTTGGTTTGCTTCTGAGATAGGTTCTTTTTTCTTTTGCATAATTCTAGCAAAATTTTTGCGTTGGGCAGGAACTTGTAACTATTGGGCAATGGTGGCAGAAGATTTCATATTCAGAATATTATTTGAGACATCATAGGGCTCAACTTGTTCGATTATAGAAGAGTAAGTTTTATATTTAGATTTTGGTTTGGTTTCTTTTGCTGTTGGTATTTCAGCAAGAATTTCTACAGGAATTTCATCTATTGGAGTATCAGGTTCATCTGGTATGACAGTTCTATTTTGAAGTTTGAATTCTCTTTGAGACTCAGAGTTTTTGGTTGCAAATTTGGCCTGTTTTCTATCAGTAGAATAAGGTTTACTTCTGGATGCTCTGGTGATGTATACTTCTTCAACATCATCCTCATCATCTACTTCAATATAGTTGATATTTTTCCTTCTATTATCTTGAGCCAATTGCTTATACTGACTCATTGTGGGTTGTTTTTCAGCTAAACAATCTCGAGCATAGTGTCCTTTTTCTCTATAGCTATAGCAGGTAATACAGGTCTTTGATATTGGTTTCTAGATTGATACTGGTTTCTGGATTGGTATTGAGTTTTAGATTGAAATCTTTGTTAAATTCTAGGTGTAGATGTATTTGGTTCAGTTAGTGCCGATGCAATAGTTGCATAATTGAGAGTCATTTGTTGCATTTGTTTGGTAAGGTTATCAATATATTTTTCCAAACTTCTGGTGGCAGCAGCAAGACTAGGTTCACTTTGAGTAGCAAAATCTTTTCTTTGTTTAAATGTTTTTGCATATCCTAAAGCCTTATTCACATTGGCAAGATTATGCATAAGAATAACAGGTAGGGTTTCAGGACAGAGTCCTTTATTAAAATAGTATAGTTTTTGGGCATCACTTAGGGCATTATTAGTTTTTACTTCTTGGATAATTCTTTTATATCGGCTATAGTAGGTTTTAACTGGTTCAGTAGGCAATTGTTTTAATTCATCTAAATCTTTAATCCATATGTTTTTCCAACGTTGATTACAGAATTGAGCATTAAAGGCAAGTTTCGTAGCAGCCTAGTCATCTGCTTTATTTGCAGTAGGAGTATTTGCAATATAATAGGTTTGTTGCCATTCATCAACATTTTCTCTAAGAAAAGCTGGCATAATTTGTCTTTGTTTAGCAATACTTCAACTGTTAGCAATTGCAGCCTTTTCAAAGTTAGCCATCCAGACCAAAGGGTCTTGGGTTCCATTTCCATGAAAAGGTTCAAT